ATTTTATTTATTTATTTGACAGACAGAGATCACAAGTAGGCAGAGAGGCAGGCAGAGAGAGAGGCGGAAGCAGGCTCCCTGCCGAGCAGAGAGCCCGATGCGGGGCTTGATCCCAGGTCCCTGGGATCATGACCTGAGCTGAAGGCAGAGGTTTTAACCCACTGAGCCACCCAGGCGCCCCTCTAGTCCCACTTATTGACAAGACTGTCTTTCCCACTGAATTTCAGTGGTGCCCTTGTTTTCCAATCAATTTCTACAAAAAATAATCTTCCTGGGATTTTGATTGGGATTGCAGTTAAGCATGTGTTCCATTTACTTACCCCCATAATCTCAGCAATATGAGACTTCCAATTCTATAACATGGTATATTACTTGATTGATATATATATCTTTAATTTCTCTTCTTGAATATATATATATATATATATATATTTTTTTTTTTTTTAATTTTATTTATTTATTTGACAGACAGAGATCACAAGTAGGCAGAGAGGCAGGCAGAGAGAGAGGAGGAAGCAGGCTCCCCACTGAGCAGAGAGCCCGATGTGGGGCTCAATCCCAGGACCCTGGGATCATGCCCTGAGCCGAAGGCAGAGGCTTTAACCCACTGAGTCACCCAGGCACCCGAAAATGTTCTATTTGTAACCCTGGTCATCAGGGTGCTGAGGAAGAGCTCTGTATGTCGGTCAGTAGATGGCTGTCTTCTCAGCTCCAGATTCCCCCATTATGCTCGATGCTGCTGAGGCTGATGCTCTCCAGACCCAGTTTCCTTCTCCACCGCTGACTGTCAGACTGTGTCAGTTAGTGGGTGCTCGTGAGAGCCTCAGGCAGCGGAGAGCAAAGGGACTTGTTCCTTCCTTTTGCTCAGCGCTGTTGGCCTTGCCAGCAAGGGCCCTTCCCCTGGCAGCAGCCGCTGGTTCCAGTCCAGATTTTCGAGTCTCTCAGAACCTGTTACAGGAACAGCCTGATAACCTTTCCTCTTTCCCTCTAGCGTGGGTTGGGGGTGTGGGAACCGAGGGGAGAGGCTGAAGCGCAGAGGAGGGCCTCAGAAAGGGAGGGGGCGCTGCCCACCTGGCTCGGGGTGTGTCAAGAAAGCCGGAGGCTGGAACCGACCGCCGGGCAGGTGAAGGGCCCTGGCGAGGAGCCATGGCGGCAGGGACGGGAGGGCATGGGAAGGGGTACTCCTCCCTCCCTGTCCGCTCTGCAGGCTCCAGAGGGAATTGGTCAGGCAAATGCTCACAGAGGTCAGTTGGTAAAGGAGACGCAGGGGTGGCAGGGTCCCTGCCCCAGGGTCACAGGTCGTAGAAGGGCGAACTTGGAGTTGAGAGACAAATGACAGCTCTGTAACTGGAACCTTCCGTAAAGGCAAATCTCAGAGAACTTTTCCCCCTTCCTCAGGCTTCCAGCTCATCTTCTTGCCCTACGCGGACGATAAGCGGAAGGTGCCCTTTACTGAGAAAGTCATGGCAAACCCAGAGCAGATAGATAAGATGAAAGCTATCGTTCAGAAGCTCCGTTTCAACTACAGGTGAGTGGTGGGTCCGTCTCAGGCTTTCTTCTGGAACTGTCTCCTGAGGTGAGAGGATTCTTTTACTCCCAGGCTGCTGCTGGGTATGGGGAGGAAGAGCGTTCAGGTCCTTTCTCTCCCCGTGTCCCACCTCCTCTCCTTCGTCTTGTTTTCATACTTCCACGGCCCTGCCTCCTCCCTGTCCCTTTCTGCCCTCTGCTTCTCGGGACAGACGGGAGGTGGTGTTTGCCCTTATTTTATTTTATTTTTTTAAAGATTTTATTTATTTATTTGACAGAGAGAGAGATCACAAGTAGGCAGAGAGAGAGGGGGAAGCAGGCTTCCTGCCAAGCAGAGAGCCCGATGCGGGGCTCGATCTCAGGACTCTGGAATCATGCCCTGAGCCAAAGGCAGAGGCTTAACCCACTGAGCCATCCAGGTGCCCCGGTGTTTGCCTTTAAATTAGCTTTTGGATTCCCAACAAACTGAAAATTGGAGAGAGAAAAGTTGGTTCAAGAGACAAGATTCCCCGCTGTTTGATTTGGGCTCTTTGCGTCAGCCAGCCCCAGGCCTGAGCCGCCTCAGTCGGGTTTATTGAATAATTTTTAAATTATTTTCAGTGTTTTAATGTATTTGTGCTATTATGACTATTCCACTAGAAGTGACAGCTTCGAGAACCCGGTGCTGCAGCAGCACTTCAGGAACCTGGAGGCGCTGGCTTTGGATCTCATGGAGCCCGAGCAGGTGGTGGATCTGACATGTAAGAAGGGTCGTGGCGGAGCCCCGTGGTTCTTTCCGTGGGAACTTCCCGTAGTGCTCTCACTCTAGACCAGAAAGGTGGCTGCATTTCCTAGCACCCTCTCCAGACCTAGCCTCCTTGTTCCAGCCATGTCTGAGAGATGTTCTAGAGCAGCGTAAGCCGCTGCAGAGCTGATTCGGCTGGTTCTGTCATGAGAGGAGAGGAAAGTACCAGGCTTCTGAGACCTGCCTTTGAACGAGGCCACCTCATGACTCCGTGTTGGTAAAAGTTAAAAAAAAAAAACTCCGTAACATTTATTGAGCGCGCACTGTGTGCCAGGCACTGTTGTCCTGTGTGTCGTTGACTCATTTAATTCTTGTTACTAACTGTGAGGTAGGTGCTGCTGTCGACCTTGGTTTCTGGAGAAGGAAGTGATGGGCCGAGGCCCCAAGTGGTGGGCAGTGGATCCAGGTTTAGAGTCCAGGGAGTCTGGCCCGGAGTCCTTGCTCGGCCCCGCGGTGCCCGAGAGGATCCCCCTCATTACCCTGCACGGGGGAGATCGGCCTGGCCTCCTCAGTTGAGCCGTAAGCTCGCTGCCCATCCCTTTCTTGATTGTGATTCTCTTACCTATTTCCCGAGAGCGCATGCGCGGTTTAGGGATGTAAGTACATTCCCAGCGGGAAACAGACGGGGTTTAATGAAGGCTTTTGACAGATGTTGAAAAGATCTGAACAATTCGTGTGGCCTGCTTAGCTCCCCACTTACTAATCTGTCTTATGCTAGACCAAGCATAAGAGCTGTGAGAGCCAGTGGCCCCCCATGCGGGGGTGGGACTGTGAGCTGCATCTGGCAGGAGGGCAAGGCTGGGGTGACGTGGCCTGTCTTCTTGGTGGCCTTGAGGTGACTCAGGAAGTAAGCGGCCTGCTCTCCAGCAACGGGGTGAAGGACGTGGGCTTTGGAAACAGCTGATACAGATTTGAATCCCAGGTCTGCCACGTACCAGCTCGAGTAGGCTTGGGATCTCATTCATCTCCCTGAAACTCAGTTTCTTTATAGGGAAGATGGGGACAGTGTGATGTTCCTGTAAGGGATTAAGTACATCTCGGTCCTGAGGCGCAGGAAGTGCTCAGGACACAGCAGTCCCCCATTCCTCCGCAGCATTTAAAACTCTTTCAGCTGGGGCGCCTGGGTGGCTCAGTGGGTTAAAGCCGCTGCCTTCGGCTCAGGTCATGATCCCAGGGTCCTGGGATCGAGCCCCGCATTGGGCTCTCTGCTCAGCAGGGAGCCTGCTTCCTCCTCTCTCTCTGCCTGCCTCTCTGCCTACTTGTGATCTCTGTCTGTCAAATAAATAAGTAAAATCTTAAAAAAAACAAAACAAAACCCTTTCAGCTGCGCTGATGTTTCCTCTGACTCCTCAGCTGTTGGTTATCTGGTCTGCTCCGACAGCCTCCAGCGTCCCCTCACTTCCATGACTCCCGAGCCTGTGTCCCCAGCCCTGTCCTTTTTGCTCCGCTCTGGCCCAGACCGCAGCCGCCCTGCCCAGCGGCCATCATGCCCTGGGACTCGGCTCTCTTACCGCTCAGACATCCCACAGCTTTGACTCTGTGCCCTTTTATGTTCTTTATTCACTTCTAATCTGGAGCGTCTCTGCTTCCCTCTGGCGCAGTGATAGTGGTTTTCTTTTCATAAATCACTTACTGAAGACTTATGATTGTTTTGTTGCTTTTTCCATTTGGCTTTTGGATGCCACGCTGTCTTGGTTTTTTTCCTGGGCCCACAGTGACCCAGGACTCCATTGCTGGGCCTGCTTCCATTTTTCCTCCTCCAGACATGGGAGCACTGTAGATGACCTTGGGCCCCATCTTTCTCTGTCACTTCATGTCTCCTGAGGTGGCCTCCACAGGCTACGCCAGTGGTTCTGAGAGGGTGCTCCTTGGACCAGCAGCACTGGCATTGCCTGGAAACTTGTCAGAATTCCACTATTGAGCCCTTTCCCAAGACCCAGCAATCTGTGTTTTACAACAAGCCTTCCAGGTGATCTGAGACATTCTCCCACCTCTAGCATGCTCGTTCTCAACGTTGGCCATACAATAGGATTGTCTGGGGAACTTAAAAAAGTCTGGCTGGTTAGGCCTCACCCAAGGCAGAGAGGCAGACAGAGAGAGGGGGAAGCAGGCTCCCCACCGAGCAGAGAGCCTGATGCAGGGCTTGATCCCAGGACCCTGGGATCCATGACCTGAGCTGAAGGCAGAGGCCCAACCCACTGAGCCACCCAGGCACCCAAAGATTTTTTTTTTTTTTTTTAATTTGGCAGAGCGCACAAGTAGGCAGAAAGGCAGGCAGAGAGAGAAATGGGGAAGCAGCATCAGTGTTTTTTAAAAGTCCTAGCTGGGGCACCTGGGCAGCTCAATGGGTTAAGCATCTGTTTTCGGCTCAGGTCATGATCCCAGGGTCCTGGGATTGAGCTCCACATCAGGCTCTCTGCTCAGTGGGAAACCTGCTTCTCCCTTTCCCTCTGCTACTCCCCCTGTTTGTGCTCTTTCTGTCTCTCCAGATCCTTAAAAAGAAGTTCTAGGTGGTTCCCAGGCTGAGAACCAGAGTTCTCACAGATGCTTGTGTAGTCTGGGACACGGGGCTTCTGACTTGGCCGGTTTGGCTGTGACGTTGTGCCAGGAGTTCCCCTCAGTACTTAGCAAACGTGGCCACGTGAGGAGATGATGAGACTCGATCTCATGTCTGCCCTTGATGTGACACAGCTTATGTCACAAGCCCCACAAACCATCTCTAATGGTAAGGTAACACCAATTCTGTCTTTCCCCCAGAGCTGTCTTGTTCCTTTGTAGCGTTCTTGGGGAAGGCCCCTGCCCTCCCAGCCAGCCACACCTCCGCCCGGCTGCCCCCACACTTCACGTTCCGTCTGTGCGTCCATCAGTTCTGCAGCTTCTAAGGTTTATGGGCCCTGCTCCCCCCCTTCTGTCTCACCCTGTCTCACCCTCATTTGGTTCATACTCTACACACAGCTCCAGGGGAATCTTTCTAAAATGCTAATGGGATCCTGTTGCCACCCTGCCCATATTCCTTCAGAGTTTCCCCACTGTTCTCAGGATAATGTCAAAGCCCCCGGCAGGCATTCAAGGCTTCCATGACCTCGCCATGACTGTCTTTCTGGCCTCCTTGCTGGTCCTCCCCTCCTGACCTTCTGCCTTCAAGCTGTATGTCATCTGCCCTTTCTTGCCCCTATGCCTTCTGCTTGGAATAGTATCTGCCTGAGGAGGAACACTCTGCTTTCCGGACTCACCTGCGAAAGTCGTTCTTGACCCCTCCTGTGTTCCAGTGTTTCTCGTTCGGTCCCTTCACGGCATTGCCACCTACTGCATTTCTGTTTTCACCACCTCCTTACCCTGACCAGACTGTAAGCCCACTGCAGGTGCGGACTCTTGTTTGAAACCCCACAATCCAGCCCCGTTTGTGACTCTTATCACTCCCAGCTCTATGGCCTTGGACAAGTCCTTCAACCTCTTGGCTTTCCTCTGTAAAACGGGGAGACACATGTATCTACCTACCCTCTAGAGGATTAAATTGAAAAACAAGTTTAAAGCATGTAGAAGGGTGCCTGGCTGTAGTAAGTGCTCATTAAATGCGGTTCTTACAGGGTGCTTGATCAATATTAGGCTTCACGAACGTAGTCATCGCCAGATCAGGTGGCTCCTCCTGGACCCTTCCCTGATTCCCCCCGACCCCAGCAGTCAGGTACTTTCTCCTCCGGTCTCCATAGGCTTGGAACTGTACAGAAAGCCAGGGCTTGTGACTCACCTGGCCACTCTTCCTGTGTTTGGATTTTCTAGTGCCTAAAATTGAAGCAATAGACAAAAGACTGGGCTTCCTGGTGAGTGAGTTTAAGGAGCTTGTCTACCCACCAGATTACAATCCTGAAGGAAAAGTTTCCAAGAGGAGGCAAGGTGAGGAGCTGGGTTATTTTTAAAAGTTGGCTTTATGGTCCTATCACAGAGGGTCATGTTCCTTCAGAAATTTCTGTACAGACCTACGCATTTCACACAAACATACGTATTTCTATTCACATTGTTTTCTAGTTTATTTTGTTACGTAGCTACATACGGTGGGTACGTCACTGGATAGATGTTCACAGTTTATTCAGCTGAAGGGCAATGCCATTCAGCTTTTCTTGACGGATATGCTGCAGTGAACATGAACCCTTGTTGCGTTCCGGTGTGAGCGGACCCACCACTTACCCAGGATAAACTCCTAGCGGTGGTATTGCTGGGTCAAGGTGTCGCCATTTAAAATTCTGATGGAATTACCAGTTGGCCTCTGAAAAAGTGATACAGTTTATACCCTGTTCAAGAAAGGGTGTGTGTATTTCCCTACATTTCTCACCAGAACTGGACCTGATAGACTATTTCTTTTTTTCACAAAGAATACTAGAGGGAAAACTATATCCTGTGTTCATTTGTAATTCTCCAGTTAGGAATGAAATCTAGTTTTGTTTTGTTTTTTCAATTTTAATTAAAAAAAATTTTTTTTTAAATTTTAAATAAACTCCATGCCCAGTGTGGAGCTCAGTGCGGGGCTTGAACTCATGACCCTGAGATCAAGACCTGCGCTGAGATCAAGAGTTGGACAATTAACTGACTGAGCCCCCCAGACATCCTAGATGAGATGTGGTTTTCTTGGACTTTTTGTTTTCTGTGAACTTCCAGGGATTGGCTCTAACGATTTTTTCTATTGGACTATCCTTTTTCTTACCACTAGACCCAAAATACTCTTCACCGTGACACTCACCTTTTTCAGGGACAGCATGTTGTGAGTTCCTCAGCATTGACAATAGTTCTGGCTTAGGCTATAATTAGGGGGGCTGTTTTTGGTCTAGTAAAGCCAAGTTGTGGGCCTTGCTTGCCTAACAGCCCTACAAGGAAGTGGAGCGGCGAGAGCCTAGGTTGGTGGCCATGGAACGTTCTCTGTTTTGCATCCGAAGGGACTCGTATAGTGCTCTGTGTGAACTGCTGTCCTCGCTCTTCACACCTGTGCACACCTTTGTGATTTACTTGTTGATCCACCGCCGTGCGCACTTTGAGATCACCTAGCATGATGTCTAAGTATTTTACACAGCCATAAAAAAAAGCACATGGTAAGTGCTTTTTGAATGAAGGAAGGAATGAATGACTTACTCAGAGTGAGCACCAATTTTGGGTAAATTGTGGCACTGAAACTACTTTGAACTCCCTTCTTGGTGTGGGACTTTATGCTTTAATGAAGCTGCTTTATCAGAACACCCTTCAGGGGCGACTCAGTGGTGCAGTTGGTTAACCGTCCAAATCTTGGTTTCAGCTCAGGTCCTGATGTTGGGGTTATGGGATCGAGCCCCATGTTGGGCTCAGTGTGGAGTCTGCTCAGGACTCTTTCCCTTTCACTCTGCCCTTCCCTCCTGCATTCTCTCTCCCTCTTAGATAAGTAAATCTTAAAAAAAAAAAACCAGAAAACCAAAAACCACCCTTCCGTGGTGTTCTAGGTGGACATCACAGCCTTATGGAAAATGGCTAACTGCAGCCCAGATCATTGGAGGGTCCCTGTGCCGTGTAGCTGGGATGCCGCTGGTGGCATTAACAGTCACTCCCTCCTGACCTTTTCCCCCAGATGATGAAGGTTCTGGAAGCAAAAGGCCCAAGATGGAGTTATCTGAAGAGGATCTGAAGGCCCACGTGAACAAGGGCACGCTGGGTAAGCTCACTGTGCCCGTGCTGAAGGAAGCCTGCAGGGTGTATGGGTTGAGGGGCGGATTAAAGAAGCAGGAGCTGCTGGACGCACTTACTAAGCGCTTCCAGAACTGACCAGCCAGCCCGCCCCTCCTCCTGCACTCTTGCCAGGCTGCCTGGTTTTGTTCTCATCGAGTTGAAACCTGTTTCTCCTGAGCCAGGAAGAGTCTGCCTGTTATAAGCCAAGGACTTTACATTTATGAGATGTTCCGTTGCCATGGAAACAGCATAGCCTTCTCACTTTGCTGTGCTTTATTGTCTGAATAAAGAGCCTTAACTTTGTACTATATACTGTTCTTCAGTGTGATGCAGAAGCATGTGTCTGCCTCAGATCCAAAGATCACTTGCCTTTGGCTTGTTAGCTTAATTTTCTCTCCCATTAGGAACATATCATCATCATAATGGAAGCAGATATCAGTGAAGGCAGGGGATAGTGTGACAATTAAGGACAGGTGAATATACTTGAGGGATGACAAGCCCTAGCAATATTCATCCATGCGCTGGCCTCCCACCTGTTTTCCCTTTCATTGCGTCTTAATATAGTTCTAAAGATCAGATTTCTGGAAGCAGTAAGTATGTAACATTTCTAATCCTGGTACCACTTGCTTCATCAGTGACAATAACCCCCTTCATGCTGCTTTAAGATGTTAATGTGACATTCAGGTATATGAAGATACGTACATTTTCTTTTTTTTAAGATTTTATTTTATTTATTTGACAGAGATCACAAGTAGGTGGAGAGGCAGGCAGAGAGAGAGGAGGAGGCAGGCTCCCTGCTGAGCAGAGAGCCCAGTGTGGGGCTCGATCCCAGGGCCCTGGGATCATGACCGGAGCCAAAGGCAGAGGCTTTAACCCACTGAGCCAGCCAGGTGCCCCTATATGTACATTTTCTGTTGCCCTGAGGATTTGGGTACCAACATAAGTGAAGTGAGTTATTTTTATTTTTCAGGGGAGCTGTAGTAAGATGAGGAGAGGTCCTAGGAAGGAGCAGGGTAGGGTGTCTTTCTCTTTGTGTCCCCTATGCCCCCCACATGCCATCCCTCTTCTATCCTCCCTGTCCCTTTCCTGCTCTTTCTGCTCTACTGCTTTTGAAGAATTAGCCTGAGAGAAGGAAGGAAAGCATCTGGAAGGGTTTGTATCCTCCAAGGATGTCTTGAGATTCAGAGTTCGTAGGTCCTGTGTCTTAGGACCAGAGTGAGCATCTCATGAAACATACGAGGGGTCAAATTACTCTTGTAAGAGAGTTTTTGGTTTTAGATGCTTTGGTCTCTGAGGATTATAAGGGTTTTTTTTGTTTTGTTTTTACTTGGAAAGCAGATGTTATGTTCTTGTTTGCCTTTCTCTCTGCGGGAGAGAGAACTTAATTCTCCAGTTAGAAGAGATGCTTTTTTTTTTTTTTTTTAAAGATTTTATTTATGTATTTGACAGACAGAGATTATAAGTAGGCAGAGAGGCAGGCAGAGAGAGAGGAGGAAGCAGGCTCCCTGCTGAGCAGAGAGCCCGATGTGGGGCTTGATCCCAGGACCCTGGGATCATGACCTGAGCCGAAGGCAGAGGCTTTAACCCACTGAGCCACCCAGGCGCCCCAGAAGAGATGCTTTTGAAGACACAGCAAGATGATGCAAATTCATTTAATATAGTCAGTGCTCATTCTTGTTGAGAAATTAGACCATCCCTCTTAAATGCAGCATGCTTGGAAACCCTAAGTTCTAGAGGATGTTACTAGTACTACAAAGATAGATTTGAATCTAGGCTAGTCACAAGTAGGAGAGTAAGAATGAGTACCATTACTGAGCCTTTGTTTTAAACCCTGGATTTCCTAGCTAGTGAGGAGGAGCCCTAGAGTGAAATCCAGGCTTTCCTATGCACTCCTGGGGGACCTGACTCAAGGCCAGGCTCCTTTCCCTCAGTTGTGCTTTCAAAGTGTTGAGAAGGAAACAGCTCAAGGTAATGATGTTAGAAAAATAACCGTCTGAGGTCTGTGATACACAGCAGTGGTATGATCTCTCTGAGTGAATTGACCACCTTGCCTTCCCTGCTGTTGATCCTCCAGGGGAGAAGAAATACAACCAAAGCGTAATTTGGTGGCGCTTTTGTAAGCTCCTAAATCACATTTAGTAAATGTGCATCTTGGCTCCCTCACATACATACAAGTGAGCGTGAGCAGTTTCTCTGGCATTTTCGAGCCGCAGTTTCCTCATATTTATTATAAGAATGATACCATGGAATGGTGAAAATAGAAAACATGTAACACACTGCTTAATAGGTACTAGCTCTGAGCCGTCTAACCCCTCTGGCTGCAAACACGCTTCAGTCCACCAGGGGGTGGTGATGTGCCGGGGTTGGGGGCGCTGTGGAGAGCCCAGTGGCGATATGGCCGCGCATGCGCGTCCCCGGCGGGAAGGGCGGGGTCACCACATCTTGGTGGATTGGCCAGCAGCCTGGGCAGGTGATGGAGCAGCGGTGGGCAGCAGCTGGAGAGCACGAATACCTCTGGCCAAAGCTACAGCAAACGAAGGTATGCGCATGTGCATTTATACTTCCAGCCAGGCCAGATGCAGAGGGAACATCTTCTGGTATGTCTTGTTTTAATGTCTTATTAAAATATCAGAAGAAAAGGCAGGACCACAAACTCTGGGGAGAGATTAGTCATCCACTTCCTGTCCCTCCCCTCATCCAGAAATTCCAACCTCAGTTCCGTGCAGGGGGCGGGAACACACCCCGGCTATACTCAGACAACTATCCAGCCTTTCTGGTTTTAGTGCAAAGTGTCCCTGAATGTGGAATAATTTTTTTTTTTTTAAGATTATTTATTTATTTATTTGTCAGAGAGAGAGAGAGGGAGAGAGAGCGAGCACAGGCAGACAGAATGGCAGGCAGAGGCAGAGGGAGAAGCAGGCTCCCTGACGAGAAAGGAGCCTGATGTGGGACTCGATCCCAGGACGCTGGGATCATGACCTGAGCCGAAGGCAGCTGCTTAACCAACTGAGCCACCCAGGCGTCCCAGGAATAATTCTTATTGTAACTGATTGCATTACCTGTGAAAGCCAGTCCCACGTGGGATTTACTTCTGGCCACTCTGAAGCAGCTGGGGACATTTCCCGTGTGGGCCCTGCCTGCACCGCTGGTGTTCCGCGTGACCCTGCAGTTTCGACATGGCCGTATTTATCTCTGTGTTGACCGGACAGCCTCACCCCTCAGAGTCACCAACCCCCACAACCTTAGTTGTCTGTTGCTGTGTAACAGATCAGCCCAAAACTTGGCTTAAAAACAATGAATACTTACTGTTTCTTAGCATTTCTGTGTGTGAGGCATCTGGGGAGCGGATAGGCTGGCTTGAAGTCAATCATGAGGTTGCATTCAAGATTTCGGTCAGGCCTGCGGTCCTCTGAAAGCTTGACTGAGGCTGGAGGATCCACTTACAAGAAGGCTGATTAATCTTTTAAATTTTCTGTATCTTGTTTTGACATCTGGGACGGGAGGGTGCTTTTAGGCTGGGGGAGAGACTGCCCCTCCCAAAGCTAGCTAGTTTGTGGAACAGTAAATGATGTATTTACCAGCATGCCTCTCATGCAAGCCAGACACCTTACCAACATTGTCCCTGCCCTAAATCATCCCAGAGCCAGCTCCTAGGCAACTCAAAACCACTCTTAGAGCCCAGAGCCCACCGGCATTGTTCAGACTGGCAAATCCTAAGCTGTTTTACTCTGCCCTGCCTTGCCTTTGCCACAGAAACCCAAATAAAGCCTGGCCTCAGCTTTCCCCCTGCTCTTGCTTCTACCACCCGACCAAATCCTGGGTGCTTCCCCTGTGGCTCTGTGTGGTGTGGCATGCCCCCTTCTCTTGGGAAATATAAGTGGTAAATTCTTCCAATGGCATCAACCTCTTCTCCTCTTTTAATTTGTACTCACCTCTGTAAATTAAGATCCTGTGAGTACAGATGAGACAGAAGGTCATTGCCATGGCTGGCAGTTAATGCTAGCTGTTGCCTAGAAGCCTTTGGACCTCTTCACAGGTTGCTTAAAGGACTTTGTAACACGACTATGACTTACCTCATAGCCAGGGATCCAAAGACATGAAGGCAGAAGCTGTAATGTCTTCTGGAACCTTGGAAGTCACATCATTCTGCCATGTTGGTCATGCGGTCCAACTCTGAGTTGGTGTGGGCTGAGGGCCCACAATTCACAAGGGAATGAATTCCAGGAGGTGAGGATCACTGGGGCCCATCTTAGAGGCTGGCTGCCATAGGATATCATGGAAAATATTGACTGGCTACTTTCTTTTTCTTCCTTTGGAAGAGGACAGGCAGTTATACCCACTCACCCAACCCCCACCATAAACAGATACATCTAAGTCAGAGGCGCATACGTGATTTTTCAAAATGTAGCTTAGCTGACACTGAGAGGGACTCGGATACCAAGTGTCTAGAACAAGCTCCCCTTCCTTCCTCATCAGTTTGGGATTAAAAATAATGTAAATTTATTGTTTAGTACTTAACATGCTACAAATGGCCTTTAGCAAGGTCATTATTGCAAATGTAAAAAACATTCCTTAAAAAAAAAAAACAAAAAAAAACACAAAAAACAACCCCCCCCCCCAAAAAAACATTCCTTAATCATGGGTCCTCTCAGGAAACTTAGGCTAAAACAGGAGTTACTAACCAGTGTTCGTTTGGGGTCAGAAGACCCTTTCAGACCTGATGAAAGCCACTGGATTCTCTCCAGAATGTTTATATGCAAAATTCTGCAACCAACTTCATAGATGGCTGGATGGAAATTACTAGATGTCCTTGCTTGCGTGTCTAGCTTTAGGAATTACTCGTTCTCCACTTTTGGAGCATCTGTGTTAGGGCACCACCACGGGTGCTAGGGCATCACACAAATTCCTGCTCTCTCATGAGGGTAATAATCAGAAAACAAACCCCTGATACTAGTTAAGGACAAGTTAAAAATCAAATGTCGCAGGGCTGGGGGAAGGAGAAATGAGGTAGTTTGTACCTCAGGCCCTCCATAAGTGATACTTGAATCGAGACTGGCATGAGGAGAAAGCCACCAGTGCAGTAAAGGAACATCAAATACGAGAAGAAAGTAGGTTTGGAGAAACCAAATGTGAAACACTGAGCGAAGACAGAACATAGCGAAGTGGCAGGCACCAGACAGGCAGCGGAGGCCACTGGGAGCAGGGAAAAGAGCCAATTTTTTCCGCAGGATCGGACGAACACCCTGCCCTTCGAAGGCCTCCGTTGTGTCTGTGGCAACTGGGCTAACACTCCAGGGTTAACTGGGCGCT